CACTCCGCCTCACGTTTTCCCCTGCTCCATCAAAGGTTTTGAAAAATTGTAAGAAGTCTGGGGAATTTGGAGGCTGAGCAGCGCAGAGAAGCTTATGTTCATCAGAGAATAAGTTGGATTAAAATAGAAGAAGCAGAAGAGACATCTGATCCACTTCTGCTTCTGTAATATTGGCTTCAGCTACCTTTCTCTTGGGTCCTGACCTTCTCATTCAGTGAGATGCTCTGACAGATTGAAATAAAGTGATTAATGCCAATAAATTTAATTAATGGACCTGTCCAGCAGTTCAGCTGCAGTAGTTAATGTACTTCTGTGGCCCTCTCATCCCTCCCCACCTAGGGTGAGAAGGACAGGGAACCAATGGCTCCCAATACACTATGCAAGAGAATTGCCCAGATATTTTAGTGAAAAAGGTAGACAGGCTCTATCCCTGACCCACATTGAAATCAACGTATTTAAGGATGGGGGCCTACTAATTCAAATTCAGAAAACTATCCCAGTTAATTTTCTTGCAGCCATTCAGACGCTGGTTCATGGGTAAAATTTTGGAAATCACTGGAGAAGATGAAATTAAGATCAAGGTTTTATGATGTGATATTTATAGGGGTTTTAGTAGAGTTAGTTGACTTCTATATAATTACTTTGGACACCTCCATAAGTATGCCATTTGAGTGAGACTCTAAAGTAGACAACACAAATATAAATACCTACAGAATAAACAGGCAAGTAGAAAGTGCCAAAAGCTAGAGACTAAAGCCCTCTCCAAAAGTCATAACCGGCTGGGCGCGGTGGCTCAAGCCTGTAATCCCAGCACTTTGGGAGGCCGAGACGGGCGGATCACGAGGTCAGGAGATCGAGACTATCCTGGCTAACACAGTGAAAACCCCGTCTCTACTAAAAAATACAAAAAAACTAGCTGGGCGAGGTGGCGGGTGCCTGTAGTCCCAGCTACTCGGGAGGCTGAGGTAGGAGAATGGCCTGAACCCGGGAGGCGGAGCTTGCAGTGAGCTGAGATCCGGCCACTGCACTCCAGCCAGGGGGACAGAGTGAGACTCCGTCTAAAAAAAAAAAAAAAAAAAAAAGTCATAACCCATTACTGCCATTTAGAAACGAGGGAACAGTGTAATTGTTCAAATACATATGAACATTAATATATTTTAAAGTGAATTTTCTTAATTTTAAAATCATAACAACTTAGTTTTAAAAACTTAAAATACTGTTTTAATGCCTAACTGGATGCTTCTATGGGTCTGAATGTGATTGCCAGCTCCCTTTAGGTATCTGCAAATAAGTTGTTACCTTTGTATAACTCCAATCTATAATAAACATTCTGAAGTATTCCAAGTATCAAAAGATTTTAAGCACAACAAAAAATTACCCCAAATTGAGTAATGACTAATCTTTACCGAATATAATTTTTCCACTTGGCATGCATGAGGATAGACATCATTCTAAACACAAACTTGTATGGCGCTCAGCAGCACCCCCTCCCCAAATACAAACTCGAACACACACACATATTATCTACCAGGGTCTATCTGTATGATGTTATACACACCAGTTGTTTGTTTTAGGCTGGAGGAGGGCACCTTATTCAGGGAGACTTGGGATAATGAGATAATGAAACAACTACTACTACTGTCAGTGCTTCCTGAGCTGTGGTTTTTGACTCCTTGTGGAGAAAGATGTTAAAACCACAGGATAAAATAGCTGTTTCCTTGAGTCTTTATGGGACTCTGAGTACAAGTGCTGCTTGGGGGCCTGGGTGAGAAAGTCAACACAAGCCAAGAGATTGGTATTCTCTACTTCTTTCTGGTTACTCTATAGCTCCAGCACCTGGAGGGCTGAAGGATAGTATAGCTTCATTTGGTGTCACTGGGATGCTGCAGCCTTTATGGAGGTGGAGTTAGGGCTTCAGCATCATTTGGAGTGGCAGCCCTGACCGTGCCAAATGATCGACTTTGAGTCACTTGTGAGCAGGCACCACCTACAAAGAGATGACAGTTGATATAAGCCAATTTGTTCCTGTATCTCAATGAAACTATGCAGGCAACTCCCAGAAAATTGATGCCTCCCCACCACACACCTACCACCATCACCAGCCATTGCTGTACTGAATGTCTTAGTCACCCTAATAATTTCTGTTAAGGATAGACCTAAGCCAATTTAGCCATTCAGAGTCATCAGGTTCTCCTTGGTAAATATTGGTTGCCTCCAGTGACTAGTGATGGCTGCAGTTAGTTGTTTTCTCTACAATGTTATTGCTAGATGCTATGTTAAAAAAATACAAATTCTGAAACAAGTACCAATATGTATTAATGAGCAGGCATCAAAACATGCAAACAATGAGGTCTTGCAAACTTGAGGAACTGCTAGCTCTCCACCCTTCCCACTCTTCTCTTTTGCACACCACAAGGCCACTAATAGCTCACACTGAGACAACCCTACAAATACTCTGATGGCAGAAAAGCAATGTTTCTAGTCTCATAGAGCAAATAATTCTCCATCAGGTGAGAAAGTTGGGAATAAGGGGAGTTTTAGAGCTGAGGTGCTACTCAAAAAATATTAGCCTGCTGGGATCATAGAGGATTGATCATGCAAGAGTAGATTTTTCTGTACGAACCTTTCCAGACAACATTTATTGAATGCTATTTATTTCTCCAACAATATATTTTTAATATTCCTTATGTCAGTTAATAAACCCTCTAGTACTGAATCAGACTGTGATATGTGAAACACATTGTGTGTAGCTACTTCTGTGAAGTGTGAACTGTGGTATAAAGTTTTCTAAATTCTAAACAACCATCTCTGAAGCATCCTGAAATGGAAATTACTGGGTAACATTCTTTACTTATGTGATCATCCCTGCAGTAGATTCATGTTAACTTGCACACACATCCACACCTCACACTCTCCAGATATATTTTAGATAATAAAATAATATCCCACAGAACACTATTTTTTGCACAAGGAACCTACTTTATAGTGAATTAACATTACAGTAAAGGAGATCAAGCTGGTGGGTTTCACTGATCTTACTCTCTATTCAATTGTCTAGAAGCAGCTGGCTCTGTAAAATAGAATGGTATATGAAAACTCTGGCACAATATTAATCAGGAGAAAATACCACATGAGACAGAGGTGTTGCTCACAGGCTTGATATCCCCTCTAAACAGCAACCAACAAGGGGCTCTTTCCCCCTGGATACACAGGCACAGAATACAACTGGTTGAAATGAAAGGAGTCCCTCTCATTTTTATGCACATAATGGTCTTCTCACAAAATTTCACCTTGTGCATCAGCAAATATATACCTCCTTGATAAGCAAGATCACTTTTATTGGCCAATATCCCAATATATAAACCTCCTTTCCTCCTGTTGACTTAGTGGCTGGAGAAGCCCAGATTTATCAAGTGGATGTCTCAGCTTCATATACAATGGAAGCATTATTTATTCTCCTGCTGGAAGCACCAGTATTCTCCTGAAATATTAAAATCTTAAAACCATGGGAGCCTAAGGTTTATCTTGTGTTGGACAATGAAAAGAGTGGTATATGGCAGTAGTAACACTTGTTGCTTGATCACTGAATATGGTTTGGCTGTGTCCCCACCCAAATCTCATCTTGAACTGTAGCTCCCATAATTCCCATGGGTTGTGGGAAGGACCGGGTCGGAGATAATTGAATCATGGAGGCGGTTTTCCCCATACTATTCTTGTGGTAGTAAATAAGTCCCACGAGACTTGATGATTTTATAAGCGGTTTCCCTTTTCGCTTGGCTCTCTCATTCTGCTGCCATGTTAAGACGTGCCTTTCCTCCACCATGATCGTGAGGCCTCTCCAGCCACATGCAACTGTGAGTCCATTAAACCTTTGTCTTTATAAATCACCCAGTCTCAGGCATGTCTTTATCAGCAGTGTGAAAATACCATTATTTGAATCTCCTTTCAATGTTTGGGGAATTATTGATGAGAAGCACAGCATACCCCACCCCGCCCCAACTATAGAAGCTGATTATTACAGGTAGCCATGTTCCAAGCCTCTTTTGTAGTTAGTGCATGGCACATGGTCTAAGCATAGCTAATAACAAGCACTCATTCTGGAATTTGAGTGAGAAACTGATGAAACAAAGAATTAAGATAGGAGGAAACTTCTCTGCAAGCAGATGAGAGGTGCATCTAGCTTCCCAGGTAACCAAGCCATGAAATGCCAGCAATAGCATCCAGTGATGAGTGTCACAATGAGCCCCATGCCCACTATGGTGCTCAGGGATCATACTAATTTTCTATTGCTATATAAAAAATTATCACCATCTTAGTCCTAAAAACAACACACACTGATTTTCTCACCATTCTGTATGGCAGAAGTCCAGGTGGGTATGACTGACTTCTCCATTCCAGGTTTTATAAGGAAGAAATCAAGGTAGTGGCCAGTCTGAGCTAATATCTACAGGCTCTGGGGAGAATCTGTGCAGAAGAGTAGCTCTTCCATGGTTTCCTGGTGACTTTTCATGTATTTGTGTAGCTCATGCATGCAAAGGCTTGAACCACAGCTTACCTGAGCCTTAGAAGAATGCTTTGTGATCCTTCCAGAACAGGAGAGGCTAGGAGCATGATGAGGAGCTTCTGTGAGACCATCTCCCACTGAACCTACCTCTCCCAAGAGGCTTTCATGAGATGATATGGTTTACTGCAGCTTCCCAGGTTGTGATGAGGGATGGGAATGTCTTCTCTGCTCCCCTGAAAATGGAGCTGTAGGATATAAGACTGCTTAGCTATAGTGTAGAGTTAGCTCCCCAGGAACACCATAGCCCATAATCCATATTACAGCCCCCTTCTTTTTCTGTATAATTCTTTCTGGTGTGAGGGATGAGGACCATTGGGAACTGCAGCCCTTGGTTAATCTCCCTCTTGCTGTCTATGTAAGTAAATCAGCTGTTTGAATCTAAAAATCGCTTGTTGTATTTTTACTAGTTTATACAGTAAACGAGTCTTGCCTTGTCTTGGGTGGGCTTGGAGACCTGCTTCCAAGCTCATTCAAGTTGTTGGCAGAATTCATTTTTTTTGTGGATGTGGGCTGAGTCTCCCATTTTTGCTGACTGTCTGCTGGGAATGGCTCTCATCTCATTAGGCTCCAGTCAACCCTCATCATGTTGCCGCCTCCATTTTCACACCAGCAGTGGTGCAAATCTCATTCTTCAAATCTCTCCAACTTCTCCATCAGATCTCTTCTTTCTCCTTTCAGAAAAAGTTCTGTTTTAAGGTTCATATTATAACATTGGCCCCACCTGGGTAATATGGGATAGTTTCCCTATTTTAAGGTTCATAAACTTAATTATATTTGCAAAGTCCCTCTTGTCATGTAAAATAACAATGTCACAGGCTCTGGAATTACGGTGTGGATACCTTTTGGGATACATTCTGCCAATTAAAATTGGAAATGATGTTGGCATCTCATCAGACCAGATTTACGGCACAATTTTGAGTCTTGCTATGCCTAGATGGCTTTCAAGCTTGGTTCTACAGCACTTCCAGCTACTCAAGCTACTGTGAGCTACTCAATATCTCTCTATAAATCCCTCTCCTGCTTGTCAGAGTCAACTTTTATTTCTTGCAAGTAAAATTCTAATTGATACCGATCCACATCATTTTTAGCACTGTTGACAAATATTGGATGACATTTCTTAGGGCTTAAAAATTTTTGCCAAATGATCATAGCCCATAGACTGGGTTACAAATATATCCTTTACGACTTTCTAATAACAATGACATCTTGGCATAAAAAGCTTCCTTTTCTTTTTTGAGACAGTCCCCTCTGGGGCTTGTGGTATCAATGTCTGTTAACTGTCTTATGAAATAATTCCTTATTCTCGACTGACCATTATTAGAGAAAACAATTGAGAAAGTAGCCACCCAAAGACCAACACCTTACCTCTCACTCCCAGTAAGAATCTTCCATCCTACTCTCGCCTCCCTCAGTCTTATTCTCAGTCAAGGTTATTACACAGACATCATCTGAAATTGCAGAGGAAGCAATCACTCCATATCATTTAACTTCTTGCAACTGTACTTTGAACTAATTGTTCCCCTTCCTCTAGGAGCCATCAGAGGTAACCCCACAATGTCTTGCATCCCTGCTGACCTTAGGTACCACCTGCACTCTTGTCCCCTTCCTGCTTGGAACCCCTCATAGTCTGGTCCATTGCCTTCCCCTTCCTGCCCATGCAAAGTCTACACTATGCACATTAGATGGCCTCACCTGGAAACAACAAGTCCATCTTCAACAGTTGCTGATTGTGCCTTTACTGAAAGCTGGTTTTCCCATTTCTCCAAAACTCCCCCATTTGGAGGCCTTTTATCTCCCTCTCTCATTTCCCCACACTGCAGGGCCATGAGGCAGCATAAGGGTTCTCTGTGCTCCCTCTTGCCTCTTCCATACCCTTTCTCCTTCCTCCTGCAATATCCCAGCTCCTCCGATACTGATGCCACCAGAATATACCAGAAATGCTGCTCCCTCCTTGCTATCATCTGCAGACATCTCGTTCTTTCTCATCTCTTAACTGAAGAGGTTACCAAGTAAAATGGCTTACTCCTAGATGCACAGGAAGCCAATATTATATCCCTGGGTTTTTGAGAAAAGAAAAGCATTTTTTATTGCAAGTCAACCAACAAGGAGACTAGAGTCTAGCTCAAATCTGTCTCCCTGTACTGGCTCTAAGGTAGTCATTTTATTAGAAAAGGTTTAGGGGGTGAATTCTGAGATTAGTGGGTGATTGGTGGGAGGAAAGAGGAGGATTAAAAAGTTCTCAGGCATGCACAGGTATCTCTTCACTGCCTTCTCATGAGTCAGTCACGTGTGCACATTTGATGGGCATTATTAGTATGAAACATGTGATCGAAATTTGGGCTGTGACATCAGCAAGCCCATTCTGCACAGACGCAGTTGGTCATATTTGTTCCAATCAATTGTAATCAATGTTTGGCAGTCTTTGAAATCTCATGAGTTGGGGGAGCTTCAGCATTTCAGAGAGTCTTTTGTTGTTGTTTAATCTGCCATCCTACAAACTCATGAATATCTTAGTCATTAGTTTCTTTAACTATTTTGGGCACAGTTTCAATTCAATATGGTTTGGCTGTATTCCACCCAACTCTCATCTTGATTTGTAACTCCCATAATCCCCACAGATTGTAGGAGGGACCTAGCAGGAGATCATTCAATCTTGGGGGCAGTTTCTCCCCTATGGTAGTGAATAAGCTTTGTGGTAGTGAATAAGTCTCACGAGATCTGATGGTTTTATAAGAGGTTTCCCTTTTTGCTTGGCTCTTATTCTTCTGCCTGCTGCCATGTAAGATGTGACTTTGCTCCTCCTTTGCCTTCTGAGACCTCCCCAGCCATGTGTAACTGTGAGTCCATTAAATCTCTTTTTCTTCTAAATTACCCAGTCTCGGTATGTCTTCATTAGCAGCATGAGAACAGACTAATACACAATTCTTGTGGTCTCTGCTGATTCCAACTTCTTAAAGGAGCCTTCCATGCCACCCCATCTGAAGTCACTTTACCTCCACCTCATTTCTTCTCTAGCCCATCAACCTGCTCATTTCCTTCAGAGCATGTATATTCTGAAGTTTTTAAAATTACTTTATTCATTTCTTTAGTGTATGTTTATCCTCATTAGAATAAGAAAGGTCCTCATCTTTCTATTTCACAGATATAACCTCAGTACCTAGAATAGTGTCTGACACTTTTAAGAAAAATTACCTACCTGAAATTAAGTCATAGTTACATGAAGTTCTACTTTCATGTTTTATCCAAAGAGCCAATTTTCCTACTGCTATTGATAGAATAGTATGCTTTGCTCCTGCTAACATGCAATGTTTTGTGATATATTACATAGCAATATTGGGTCTGTTTCATGATTTTCTACTCTGTCACTTGGATGCATTTGTCTGATTTTTCTGGCAAAGCCAAACTGTTTTAATTACTGTGACTTGATAAACTTGGTAATAACTAGTAGGACAAGTTTCTCCCCGCCACTTTTTTTTTTTTTTTTTTTTTTTTAGAGAGTGTGTCGCTCTGTCGCCTAGGCTGGAGTGCAGTGGCACGATCTCAACTCACTGCAATCTCCACCTCCTGGGTTCACGTCATTCTCCTGCCTCAGGCTCCCAAATAGCTGGGACTACAGGTGCCCGCCACCACGCCCAGCTAATTCCTTTTTTTTTTTTTTTTTTTTTTTTATTTTTAGTAGAGACAGGGTTTCGCTGTGTTAGCAAGGATGGTCCTGATCTCCTGACCTCGAGATCTGCCCGCCTCGACCTCCCAAAGTGCTGGGATTACAGGCTTGATCTTTTCCCCTTTTAAGCTTTTCAGAGGAAGTCTCTTTTATATGGACATTAGAGTTCAACTTATTAGGGTACTTTCAATGTACAATGACAATGGAGTAAATCATGAGTGAAAAAAAAATAACTTAATTTGATTATATAAAAATATAAACACTTTGGGAGGCCAAGACAGGCAGATCATCTGAAGTCGGGAGTTCAAGACCAGCCTGGCCAACAAGGTGAAACCCTGTCTCTACTAAAAATACAAAAATTAGCCAGGGGTGGTGGTGCACGTCTGTAATCCCAGCTACTCTGGAGGCTGAGGCAGGAGAATCACCTGAACCTGGGAGGCGAAGGTTGCAGTGAGCCAAGATTGTGCCACTGCATTCCAGCCTGGAAGACAGAGTGAGACTACCTAAAAATAAATAAATAAATAAATAAATAAATAAATAAATAAATAAATAAACAAACAAACAAACAAACAAAACAAAACACAGAAAGAACTTTAGCATGTTGCAAAACACCAGAACCAAACTTGGGAATAAACAATATGTAGTAGTATTTGTGTTGGGGTTAGACACAGGCTATGAGTCCTCTTAAGGAATCAGGTCATACCATCCTCAGGACCAGCCTCAACCTGCCATCAAGCTCCCAAAGGCCCCACCACCACAGAATGCTCAGGGACAGGGAAGGGATACTGCACACAGCCAATCACTTGGAAATATCTGGGAGCCAGTAAGAAAGAGAGAACAGCAACCCTCAGCATAATCAGGATTTAAATGTGTCCACAGATCTGACAGATGGACTGGACAGAGAGCAGGAAATGGAGGAGTGTGTCTGGAAGAAAGGGCTTGCTGCTTGATGCACTGGAAGCCAACATCATGGCCTTGGATTTCTGAGCAAAAAAAAAAGCTTTTTATTTTAGAGCAACCAACAAGGAGAGTGGAGTCAAGCTCCAACTCTCTCCCAGGGCTGGCCTGGTATTTTTATTAGAAAAGGTTTAGGGGGTGGATCTGGGGATTAGTAGGTGACTGGTGGAAGGAAAGGGAGGTCTGGAAAATCCTCGGACCTGTGTAGTTGTCTCTTCATGCCTACTCCTGGGTTGTATGCATAAATTCACAGGGAGTTAGTATGAAGCATGCAACCAACATTTGAACCAGATTGTTCTGTGCAAACTTCAGTTGGCCATATTGGTTCCAACCAATTTCAGCCAGTTTTGTTATTTTATAAGCAGAGAGAGTTTTAGTATTTCAGCAAGCTGATTTTATTTTTTATAATGTCATCATGTAAACTCAATAATTGGCCACTCGTTTCTTGACCTCTTTGGGGCACAGTTTCAAAAGTGTCAGAGCCTAAAGATCAGGGAAAAGGAGTGTGGGAAGCTGGCCTGGTCATGCCTGTTGCAGCCCCTCTATTCTTGGAGTCCTCTGCTATCTGATAAGGAAAAACCTAACGCAAGAAGGAGCAGATGGAATTCTGTTTCTAAGAACCCAGTGAACTCCTGCGGAAAGCCCTTTCTGAAGAGCTGGTCCTGCCAGTCAGTCACACAGACGATCCCCTTGTTGGTTCAGGAATGTGGAGAACAGCATCAGGCTGATGGCCAAGGATGATGAGACAGAAAGAGGAGCCATCACGGAAAGGAACAGATGCCTGATTTTCTTGCCAGTTCCTCCCCTTTCCCTAACTAAGTTCTAGGGAATAATGGGGTGAGGGGAACCCTAGTAGAGTTTGATTAGGAGGTGAAGACTCTAATTTGTGGAATTTGGAATTGCTAAATATTTGTAATCACTGGTAGGTGAGGTCAAGACACCTATGAGCTATAAATAAGAGAACCAAAGGGTTAATATTATCCTCAATGGAAAAGATGTTCTTAACTCAAATAAAGACAGGACTGGCTTTCCAATGGAAAAAAAAAGTCAAATATATACATAAACACACACACACACACACACACACACACACATATATATATGTTTTGAGACAGAGTTTTGCTTTGTTGCCCAGGCCTCAGTGCAATGGCACAATCTCGGCTCACCACAACCTCCACCTCCTGGGTTCAAGCAATTCACCTGCCTCAGCCTCCCAAGTAGCTGGGATTACAGGCATGCGCCACCATGCCCAGCTAATTTTGTATTTTTAGTAGAGACAGGGTTTCTTCATGTTGGTCAGGCTGGTCTCGAACTCCTGAACTCAGGTGATCCACTGCCTCGGCCTCCCAAAGTGCTGGGATTACAGGCGAGAGCCACTGCACCCAGCCTATACTTTTTAAATGTTAAATATAATAATATGGGCTTAATGGAAAAGACCTAGGAGTTCTAGTAGGCATAAAAATATTTCAAGCTTTCTAAGAAGAGATTTGGCAACAAATATCAAACACTTTAAAGGAGCTCATTGTCTTTAAAATAGTAATTTTATTTTTAGGACTCAACCCAAGGAGCTCACTGGAGATGGAGACAAATATTTACAAAGATGCTTATGCAGCATTTTTAATCATAAAAACATTGGAAAGAGCTTAAATATGTAGGAGATGGCTAAATAATTAAGATAATGTAATAAGCATTATGCAGTCATTCAAACGATGTCTTAAAGTAATGTTACTGACATGGAAAATACTCAATATATAATGTTCAATGGAAGAAAAAAAAGATGCAAAACGATATAGTATGATTACCTACAAGCCATAAAATCACTGAACT